ACTATTTCAGTCCGATGACCACTGACTGTCTTCAGTTAGTTGACTGGCTAACCGTTTTCAAAGTCACCGTGGACAGCTAAGCCGATTAAGCTCGCTTGACAGTAAACGTTTTCAGTCATTGACCCAGCCTGACATGATATTCACGCTGCACTTGGACATGGCTAACCGCTTTCCAGTCAAGCTTAGGAAACCAGCTGACTGTTTCAGTCCAGTTGACTGGCTAACCGTCCATTCAGTGCCGACTTGACCGCTGACTAGTTTCAGTCATGTGAGCACGGACTAAAACCATTCAATGTTATGACAGCTAACCGGTTTCCAGTCATTGGACCAGCGACTGTATTCAGTCATTGGACGGTGCTAACTCGATTGTCCAGTCATCTGCCCAGCTTAGCCTAGTTGTCACTTACACATTGGACCGGCTGAACCACGTTCTACAGTACAGAGTTTGATTATTTTCACATTGGTTGAAAGCTCATTGACCAGCTGACTGGTTTCAGTTATTCCGACTGGCTATTCAACCGTTATCCGTCATTGACCAGCTGATGTTTCAGTTTCATTGACTATTCGCCTACACGCTTCTAGTGCATTGACCATGCTGACATGTATTCAAGTCATTCGACGGCTAACCGTTCAATCAATTGACGCAACCTACTACCACTTAGATCATTCGACCAGCTAACGATTCAACGTTATCTGACCAGACTAACTGCTTATCTAGTCATTTGACGTGCTAACCGGTTTCAGTCCCCTTGGACAGCTGAACTGTTATCAGTCAATTGACCGGCCTATCTCACGTTATTCAGTCATGGGCACGCAACCTAACAATCCTGTAGCACATTGCACCAGTGAAAGTCCCCGATTAAGAGATCATGACAGCTGACTGTTTCAGTCATTGAACTTGGTGCTTATAAGACCGCTTTCAGTTCATTAGAACACAGTCTGACTGTCCTATTCAGCATTAGACCACACTACCCATTTTAACGTCAATTGACCAAGCTGCTGTTCAGATTATTGAGCCTGGCGATAACCGTTATCCTCAGGCTCAATTGTATCCGACTGACCTGTTTCAGTTTATATGCAACTGGCCTAACTGTCTCAGTCATGCCAGCTGACTGTTTCAGTTCAATCTGACCCGCAGCTAACCGTTTCCAGTCACTTGACCAACTAACCCATATTCAAAGATACTTGGACCAGCGAACATGACATTTCAGTTTTTGATTGGCTTAACCGTTTCAGCTCATTGAACCAGCCTTGACTGTCTTCAAGTTCATTAGACCAGTAACTGTTTTCAGATCATGGATGATGCTAACCGTGTATCAGTCATTGAACCAGCTGACTGTTTCAGTCATTGACCGGCTAACCGTTTCAGTCATTGACCAACTAACCATTTAAGTCATTGACCAGCTAACCGATTAAGTTATTGACCAGCTGACTGTTTCAGTCATTGACTGGCTAACCGTTTCAGTCATTGACCAGCTGACTGTTTCAGTCATTGACCGGCTAACCGTTTCAGTCATTGACCAACTAACCATTTAAGTCATTGACCAGCTGACAGTTTCAGTTATTGACTGGCTAACCGTTTCAGTCATTGACCAGCTGACTGTTTCAGTTATTGACTGGCTAACTGTCTCAGTCATTGACCAGCTGACTGTTTCAGTCATTGACCGGCTAACCGTTTCAGTCATTGACCAACTAACCATTTAAGTTATTGACCAGCTGACTATTTCAGTTTTTGACCCTCTTATTGTTTTGGCTTTTGAGCCAACCGGCTAATTGTTTCTGTTATTGACCGGATGAACATTTCGGCCATTGCTGCGTTAACTCTCACCTTACTTACTCGGCCGTATTTTTTGTCTACGTTTCATGCATTGTTACCCCCTGTTCATGAAAATGACGGAAGAACAGCCGTTTTGTGGATTTGACTCTTCAGATTAAATCATTTGTTTGAATCGAATTCAGAAAGCCCCAAACTTATGCGTTTTTGGTCAGATATGTTTGGCCGTAGAACATACATCTTTCTGTCGTGCGCTTTGTCTGTTTTTTTTGTACAAAATCTGAGCAGTGTAAACAGGGCCTAAGCTCGCCATCTGGCTTTTCATGTTCATTTCATGCATTGATTTGTCTCTTTCATGCAATTTTTCGCAACGGAGTTTTATCTTAGACAACTTTAAGCATTTAATATTTTTTTCACTTTTTGCATAGAAAACAAGTTCTGTCTTTTGCCTTTGAAGAATCGAGTTGTATTGCAAGGTTACCTTCGTAAAAAATATGATATTAAAATGTACTTTTTATTTTCGATTCAGGCAGTGCTCGCAGCGAGAAGTGGGTAAGTTAGATTAATGGTCGTATTATCCTAAATTATGCTATATTATGCTAAATTATGCTAAATAAGTCATGTTTATTTCAAAAGGTTTTTCGATCGAGTAGAGATTTAGAAAGGATAAAATAAGCTTTCTTTAGAGTTAATGAGTTTCTTGCCTTCATTTTTTATTTTACATCAAACATCTGAAATATTCCATAACTGGTAAAGCAAACTGTGAAATATCAATGAGAACAATCTTCTCTTGTACCCTAAAAAAATCTCTTATCAGAGCATACTTGACAATCAATATTTCTTTTAGATATTTCGAAGCAATGTTTCGCTCGTTCAGTCCACAAAACAACAGAGTCAATGTAAGTGTCTTGCGGCGTCGATCGCTTCGGATCATAAATATGTGTTTTATACTCAGAGAAACCTCGGATGAAAAGTTCATTAATTAATGTTATCTAGAAATTTTTAAAGGCTTCTTGAATACTCTATTACCCCCATATCAATATACCGGTGTCCATTTGGTCAGATCGAGAGGAACTTAAGCAAACTTTTTAGTTTTTTCTCTTCTGATTAAAGACAAACCAACGACTTTATCAGCGTTACTTGTTCAAGTTAATATAAACATCTATTTCAATGTATTCATCTCGTTTATAATTCGCTTTTTCTTCCAACGTACAATTTCATTCTAAACTTGTTTTATTGTCTGATATTATATGATACGCAGTTAAAAGACCTATATATAGGTTTTTAAGATGAAATACGTGGTCTGCAAGGGAAACATTTTTAACACGATTGGCAGCACCACCACTTTTACGTATTAATGCAGCAATCTACTTGGCTTCACTAACCTCCCTTTCTCTAACCCCATGCTTTCCTTCCAGGTTTCTATTGGCGATATGGTCCCATCTCCGCAGTCATTTAATTCGCTTCTTCGGTACATTTATACTGGCGATGTTTCGATGCCCCCAGAGGATTCCCTTTATCTGTTTTCTGCCCCTTTTTACTACGCATTCACCAATAGCAGACTGCAGGTAAGTGGTCTTTCAACGACACCATACGAACCCCATCATCTCAATTAATTTCTACCTGAAGGCTTTTTGAACTTAAGGAAAGTTGTTGAAGCATCGGCATTTTCACGCAACCAAACAATTTTGCTTAATTTTTAGAAGCTCTTTACCTTCATGACATTTCCTTGCCTTCTCAAATAGTTATCAAAATTATTTGTATCAAAAATTGTTGCCAATATTATGCTTTATTGAAATTGGATTCTGTTGAAAATACAGTGGAATCCCGAAGAACGAACCCCGGGTATATCGTACTTCCCGATATAACGAACCCCGGGTATATCGTACTTCCCGATATAACGAACCCCGGGTATATCGTACTTCCCGATATAACGAACCCCGGGTATATCGTACTTTCCGATATAACGAACCCCGGGTATATCGTACTTCCCGATATAACGAACCCCGGGTATATTGTACTTCCCGATATAACGAACCCCGGGTATATCGTACTTGTGTGAATGAAAAAAAGGTCACCGTAGCATCACTGAAGCCCCGTATGCCGGGGTGAAATATTAGGCTTCACTGATTTACGTGTATTAATTTTTGTTTACTCTCGGGGTATTGCGGTGTTTAATATTTGCTACATTTAAATCGTACTTTCCGGTATAACGAACTAAATGTCTGGTCCCTTGGATCTTGTCATCCACCACTGCCTCGTCGCCTGCTGCGTAAATCATTTTCATACTAACCATCCCTTATGGTAATCTCAACTGTAACATTTTTAACCTGATTTTCATTTACCATTTTCATGTTTTTGTATCCTCTTCTCAGTAGGTTTAGCTTCTCTACAACCCCAACGACCTGAGATAGCTTAAATATTCAATTATGACGTTTTTCATCCTAGGCTTTCTGCAAACAAAATTTGGAGATGAACGTTTCCGTGAAGAATGTGATTCAGGTTGATTTTTTCGTCGACTTATTTCGCAATTATTTCGTTAACTTTATTTTACGTTGATCTATAATTGGCACTTTGGCTAATTTTAGTTGAATCTCTGCTTGAATCACACAGCTAGATTCACTGAACGCTGTATTTGTCCACAAGAATAATAGCTGCAATATTCATTTATACAGACGATTCATATTATGAAACGATGATATAGTTAGCTATTAAACTGAGTACCAGAATCAAATAAATAAGTTAAACAGTTTATTTTCGTTATTTTAGTCAAACACTTTTAACTATCAAACTTATTTATTTCATTCCGGTACTCAATTTATTTGCTAACTATATTATCATTTCTTTGGATGAAGTACCACATGCAACGTACATTTTTAATTGGATGTTTCATATAGCGACTTCATTAATTATTCCTATAATTGCTTTATGTTGTAGTTCGTATAGCGTTTGCAGCTGGCAAAGCTATCCAAACACAGCATGATGTAACTGGCCTCATGGCTCTTTCTGAAGTGACGTAACATCTCTATTTGTAGATCTTAGAAGCAGCTCACAGCATTGGTGCCATGGACATGGAGCATTATGCCCTCAGTATTATCGTTCAATATTTCCCTAAGGTACGAGACACCTGCATGATAACGTCATTGGCTTTAATGGAAATGCTGCAAATGTCTTGAAATATTTGTTTTTTCTAATATCAATCATTTGCGTGTACAGCCGAACATTTATATTTACATATTTGATTATACGTATAAAACCTCCACTGGCTTAAACGGCTGTCTCATTTGGCTACTATCGTCTTGAAAGTAAAATTGGAGGGTAATTCCTGCAAGGTGAACGTGTATTTATATCCTTGTGCAGAATGAAACTCGAATGATCGATTGTGCATATGATCGATTCCGCCTACACGGGAATATTTCAAATACACGGGAATATTTAAAATATTTTTCAGGTCGCCAGGCTTCAAGATTTCCGACGCTTGAGCAAGGAGTTGTTACTTGGCATCTTGGATGCGATTGCCGACTACATGCAGTCTGGACAGCAATTCGATTTCGTTCCGTACCATCCCCAGATAGAAAATGTCGATTTTAAAGACCATAAAGATGCAAGTTAAGACTTTAGCCAATCGCCTTTTCGCCCTATGTACATCAGAATCATTTCTATGAAATTAGATAAATAGAATTCTCGTGTTAGAAATTGCAAGATGGCACGTAAATGTGGAAACTTTCTCAACGAAAGTAAGTAGCGTCAGGACATTGCCTAATAGCTAACAGAAAACTATATCCAGATGCGAATTGAAAATTAATTGAGTTTGTGAACTTTAGATAATTTGTTCTGTTCAACTTTTTGTCCTTATCTGTTGTTTTATAGTTTTGTTATTTTTCTTTCCTTTTTATGCTTTTTGTCTTAGGCAAGTGTCTTAGTAGAATCCATTAATTGATGTAAATTTAGCGGACCTGAATTTAGCAATCTCTAACAACTGCAGTTTCACTATGGTCCACATCGGGTTGGCTGCCCCTTTTTTGTAAAGAACGATTAGTGTTGGTAGTTTAAGTTTCCCCATAATGCAATTTGTTCTTGGCAAAATATTTTTCTTTTTCAATTTTAAATTTCTAGCATTGATTTTTGCGTGGTTGGAGTTTATTCTAAATCGCTTCAAGCAATTTGACAGTGAATTAGTTGAAAAGAAAAGATGCGACTCTGTTCTCTGCAGAAGCCTGATTTTGGGATGTATCTTAAAATAAACTTGATTTGTCTTCGTAAAAATTCTTGTGAGGTATCTAACACTGTATAGCTAGGCATTTGATATATGTGTAGATTAATTACTGTCCTGGTGTTGCGTATATGTAAATAAAATCGGATCATCTCGCATTCTCTGTAATTTTTATATTATTTATACGTAATTTGTCATAATACTTGCTTCGCTTTGCTCACAAATTATTCTACATGAGAAACAAATTACATTCCCCATCAAACGTAATCTAGGCTTGCAAGTCTCGATTATTTACACCTGTGTTGCATATTATTTTGATTGGCAGGTGGCAACCGCTGACCATGCAGATTATGCGGTCAAAGATCATTGATCAAGTCCTCGAATGTTTCCGTCTGAAACTTTCACTCAGACTTCTAAAATACCACTCTTGCGAGTTGCTGCTTAATAACTTTCTTTGTTGTGTTTCTTTCTATCCTTTTTTCTTTCGCTGTCGACCCTCCCAACAGCTTATTCGACTTGAAAATTGTTACGATTCCTTGCCTTTGAAAAATCAACTTTGCAGCTTTAGCTTTGCAATGAAGCATTTGAGATGCTCCATATATTTCTAATCATCTGAGGCGCGAGTAAGGATCTGTTATTCACAGGGCCTAAGCTTTTACAGTACTGTTGCGCTTGCTAATGGCGAAATCTGAGCAACTGGTTTTTGTATTCTAATTTTGGCGTTGTTTGGCGGCCAGCTAAGGCAAATGACATTACGCATCGGCACCCACCTGTCGTTACCCATTCACCATTCAGGTTTAGGCACAAGTCGCTCGTCTTTGCTTTGTTTTATTTCACGCAGTTTGTTGATAAATTTACAAATCATTTGATTTGTTCATGTTTTAATATCTTTGATTTGAAATGTAACAAAGGCCAAGTTGGGTTCGGAGAAAATCCTACAATCATGTCTTCATTTTGGATTGAGTTTGTACTTTATCTTTTCCTTGCAGTTACTGCTACAGGTATGGACTAATTAATTATTTCACCTACAATTTGCAGTTTTCATTTCTTTTTGCATTGGGATATTTTAGGTTGACTGTCGTATTTTTTTTCTCTTTACAGTTTGACATTCAAAAGGAAAACTTAGTCGTAAATAATACCATTTTCAATAAAAAAAGGAACTGCTGCTAAATTAAAGATGCTTTCTTGGCCTGGATTATTTTAAATTTGCTTGACAAACAAATTGTTAAACAAGACTTGAGAATATTAACTTTTGAGATGCATTTTTTTAATTAGTTTGATTTTCAATTATGCCTTCAATTTTCTTTGAGTTTTTCAAACTACATTACATAACTGTTATTCTGTTTTAATATTTTTCGTTTGTGCTTCCTCGTCTTACCCAGATTCACTTTATCTGCAACTTTTTTCCAGCTGAGGAAACTTTCATAGCAAAACTTGTCGGAGTGAAAAACCCAAATGTAAAAAGAACGCATCGCCTCGAAGGCAGAAACGAAGTATTTGCGACACGAGCTACTTCCTTTATGAAGAAAGATGGCGACTTATTCAAAGTCCACAGGCCTGGCCTTTTAGGCAAAGAAAACACTGTTTCTTTTGAATCTGTGAGACTTCCAGGATTCTTCCTTCGCCAGAAAAACAAGAAAGTGCATCTTGATAACCTCAAAAGCAGATATATTTGTAAGTAGATTGGACCGCATAGAACGGTTCTGTTTGGAACTGATCAAGATGATCAATGTAGGACCGCAACTGTTTATTATCTCAGTTTGTCTCTAATCAACAATAGAAATTATAGAAATGTGGAAAATACCATTTGTAAATATGAAAGTTTACAAATATCCACAGTTACCAATATTAATTTGGCAATAGCCTTGTAGGTATTTTCGTACATCAATTCATAAAAAGTTCAGTTTAGTTTTGATGTTCTTTTATTATGCAATTATATGTCTATACTTGTAACGAATTTATTGAACTGGAATATTTTTCTCAACATTTTATGACATATGAGAGATAAAGGCTCAAGGAATAATCTTCTTTTCGACGCATTAAAGACTCGATTTAAAAAGATGTTGTATAGTTGAGAAAAGAGTAATAGATGTGGGAAGAGATGCTAAGTAGGTGAATAAAGGGGATGATTGGTGGGGTAGGAGGTTGGGTGGGGTAGGAGGTTGGGTGGGGTAGGAGGTTGGGTGGGGTAGGAGGCTTGATAGATGCGAAGAGAGGTTGGATAGGTGAGAAGAAGGCTGGGTAGATTAGCCGAGGGTAAATTTTCTATTTTTTTGCTTTGTGTAAAAACTAACTTTCTTACAACTTCTACTTTCCAGTAAAAGATGCGACGTTTAAAGAGTCAAGGAACGGAATCGGAGAGAATTTCCGTTTGTTTCTCCATGACAAACTTTACCTCTGCCACGAACAGAACCGAGGCCTGTCGCTGTTTATGTTTGCAGACTCACCGAAGAGAGACAAGTTTAACTGTGCATTTAACATAGTCCAGCAGGCCGGTACGAAAAATGAGGCCGTGGTGACTGAAGCACCAGGCAAGGTAAAGGACCACGTTTCCACATATGTTAAAAGCAAAGCGACTGGAGAGTCGTATCCAGAGTTTAAGGACCTTGTAAATGCGATAAAACAAAACAAAGATCCTTTTCCATCTCAAGCTGGAGAGGGACTTGTTGTTGTCTCCGGGCAGCCGGCAAATGACGCAAATAAGGCTAAGGCTGAAAAGACAGCAAAAGAGAATGCAAAACCAAACGCAACGAAAAATGCGAAGACGAGGACAGCTGCGACAAAGAAAATGGCAGCCCTGAACAAGGGTGCTGCATCAAAAACACATGCCAACAAGCCTGCAAGAAAAAACATTGCCGCGAATGCTGGGCCTAAATTGTCCCTTGGTAGTGCATCATTACGGCCGCTTAGCTCACATAAGATGCAGCCCCTGCATGAAAAGGATACTTCGTTTTTCAAGCCGGTTGGCAACCAGTGGGTTAAAGGCAATGCCAAGTTGCTTCAATCAAATTCTTATTATAAGCAACTGAAGTATCAACAAGACCTGGCAAAAAAGCGAGCTTTCATGAAACAACAAGCTCTGACGAAGCAACATACATTCGCAAGACAACAGGCTTTAAAGGGGATGCAGTACTCCAAAAACATGAACGCTTATTTCGCTAACAAGAATAAGTTGAACCAACAACGGTTGCAGGATGTTGCAGCCTCAAACAGACAGATCGTTTCGCATATCTTCCCCGCTCCGATATCCAACCCTATAGGACAGCCCATTCAATACATACCCCCAAGCCAGTGGAATCACGTGATGAGTTTGAATGAAGGCTCTTTGATCCATAAACCGGTCCAGGCTCCTCAATGGACTCATAACGCCCAAGACTTGATAAAAAGCCACTCTGCAACAAGCTCCTACGCAGTAGATAACTTGTTGACTGAACTGCACCCTGAGCTCAATTTACTACACAATGCTCACCATGATGTCAACGAAGTTGTTACATCGGATCCAAACATTCACCATATTGATTTAAATCCTGTTGTTAATCCCCCGTTTCTCAGTCATCCGACCCCCGTCCAAATCACTACCATGCCTCACGAAACTGCGACGCATGAAGACCTCGCAGAGGTTGCCAGGGAACCCGTAGCTTCCGTAGAGCATATAACGTTGCCATCGGCAACCCCGATAGCAGGTCATAGCAACGAGGTATCTGTCCACGTGGAACATGTGCCATCACTCATGGTTTCTGTACCTCATCCTTCAGTTATCACTTCAAATTTGGAAGCGGCACACGAACTTGTGCACACGCATCCGGACATAACGTTGCAGGAAGCGTTTGACAAGATGGAACCGATCCATACTCACCCGATTGAAATTGGTAGCGAGGCGGTTCATCATATTCACTCAGAAAACGAGCCAGACAAAGCATTTCATATGCGCACGCATTACGTCACTGGTAAGCCTGTTGACATGAGCGATGGCAGCGAAGATGACAACATGAAAGAAGTTCACGTCGTGCATCATAATCATCATCTTGTGCATACAGCAAACGAAGAAGAACAACAGAAATTTGTGTCAACTTTAGTTAATGCAGTCGATGGTATGTTTTTATTTCTGTGTTTCTATTGTCAAAGCAAAGCAATATAACAGGCTACGTGCCGAGCTTTCCAAAGGGGGGCTTGAGTATGAGAACTTTTTTGATGATTCAGGCAACGAACTTCAAACAAATTTAAAGAAGTATCCCAATTATGATTTGAATCTTACGTAGAAACTCCTTGAAGCTACCTGTAATGTTAACATTTAAATTAACGTTGGCCCTTTGAAAACCATAATCGCTCTGAACAGATATATTTGATTTTTAACAGTCTTTGTAAAGCGGTCAAAGACCTAGACAAGTTGTGACTAAAACTGAAAATGAATGCTAGTCCTTTCAAACAATGATTTCTAAGACCCGTTGACTTCATATTTCTTGCAGCAGAATCAACAGCACTCATTGATTTAATCGTTTTAACGGTTGCCTGATGACTGCGTTAGGCATTGAACTCTGAATAGCAACTTCTATGCACGAAAACGAACAGCGTAAAACGTTTATAATATAAAATATCACTATATTGAATAGCTTTGATAAACATATATATATATTTAGAAATTTGTCTTTTGATACTTCCGTAGCACAGTGCTCAATACGTTAGCACGTAGAGCGTGATATATCGTGAGATCTCCTGAAGAGTGAGTTACTCACGAAACAGGCTTGTAGAGATAAACCATGTAGTTTTACTTTCTTCAATCTATGATATATATATATTTATATCTATTTGATACATTCAGTGGCTTGCCTTTAATTTCTTGTATGGAATGCCTTAATTCCCCCCAGTTGGACCATGAATCATTGCGAGCGTGTAGCTACATTGTCTTTGCCTTGAGTTTATCTTGGTAATTCTTATAAGAATAATCCGCATTTTTCTAGATCTGTGCATCTCTTTGGTGTTCATAAATGAACTTGACGATCGCTACAGATTAGTTTCGACTATCAATCCTCACGGATATCGACCTAAAGGAAAGAAATTCTCACTAAAAACAATTTTCAAGGAGCCAAAAAGCAGGAAGGTGATGTCCTTTAAAGGTTACGATGAAGAGGATTCCCACAGGGCAGTGCTGCTAAACGGCCATAAAGAGTATAACGTGTACCCGACTAGTTGTGCGGAGGAACCGACAAAAGTCGTAGTCGACAGTGTCGTCTCCAAGACTGGTATAGTCACCACTGGCACTAAGAAGAACGAAGTCTCTGCCCACAAGCGCCAATGTAAGTATCAATCAAAAATGATATCTTGTTATTCGATTTCCTATCATGAAACATCCACACAAGTGGATAATAACTGAAATGTGACACTATAAAAGAGGTCATTGTTAATCCTAATTGTGGCGTTTCCATATATCTTGACACTCGTGCCAGTGCATGCAACTTTTGGCTTGCTTTCTTATAAAGATTATTAACGCGAGTTTTTAAATTCAGTTTTTTGTCGAGTGTTACTCTCAGAAGTTTCTCTTCGTCACTTTCCTCTATCAAAGATCCAGAAATATTTACTGTTGCCTCGTCATCTTTTTTCCCGAAGACAAGCAAATGGCTTTTATCCTCATTCATTTTCATATAGATATTTTCAAACCAGAGTGATAGTAAAGCGACATTCCTTTCAAGTGATCCTAAGAAAGCGGCATCCCTGCTCTCCAGCTTATATATTAATGATTTCTTCTACCTGGTGAAAGATACGGAGATTGTAACTACGCAGATGACACTACTATCTTTGCGTGTGGTTCAGATCTGGGTCCAATCTTTGAATCACTTGAAAGGGATGCCGCTTTACTATCACTCTGGTTTGAAAATATCTATATGAAAATGAATGAGGATAAAAGCCATTTGCTTGTCTTCGGGAATAAAGATGACGAGGCAACAGTAAATATTTCTGGATCTTTCATAGAGGAAAGTGACGAAGAGAAAACTTCTAGGACTGACACTTGGCAAAAAACTGAATTTAAAAACTCGCGTTAATAATCTTTGTAAGAAAGCAAGCCAAAAGTTGCATGCACTGGCACGAGTGTCAAGATATATGGAAACGCCACAATTAGGATTAACAATAACCTCTTTTATAGTGTCACATTTCAGTTATTGTCCACTTGTGTGGATGTTTTATGATAGGAAATCGAATAACAAGATCAACACGATCCACGAAAAGGCCTGAGAATCATACAAAGAGATAGTACTTCCAATTTTAAGGAACTTTTAACTAAAAGTAACTCAGTATCTATTCATTCGGACGAATTTGCAGCTGCTCCTAACAGAAATATATAAAACCGTAAACAACTTGAATCTGTCTTTTATGGCGGAAATATTTGTTACTAAAAATGTACCATATGCCCTTCGTGGCGGTAATAACCTTGTTTTGCCGTAGGCTAGGACGAATTTATATGGTATTGATACTATCAGATTTATTGGTCAAAAATTAAAGAGTCATAGTCCCGATCAAAAGAAATTAAAGAGTCCCGATCCCTAAAAATATTTAAAAGAAATATTAAGTCTATCAAAACTTTGGACTGCAGCTGCAAATTGTGCAAAGATTTTGTTCCAAATTTAGATTATTTGTAATCAATATATTTTGTAAATTGTAATTTGTACATTTTGTATAGTTGGTCTTAATTAGCTAAACGCTATTTTCTCCGCCAAGTCTAAATAAATTGTTTATTATTATTATTATTATTATTAGTTATACGCGGCTTATTTGCTTATAGACTCACCCTCTTTGTCATTCGCCATAAATTTAATCTTGCTCGCTTTCTTAATTGCAGCCGATTCTTGCACCCGGGTGTCCCATGGAACTGACGGGCCTGGAGCATGCTGTGTTTTCCCGTTCGTTTTCAATGGCCAGACTTTCGACAAATGTATTCCGTTTCGTGATGGCGAAGAGAAGCAAAAATGGTGCTCGTTGACATCGAATTTTGACGCAGAAAGAAGATGGGGCATGTGCAGCAGTACGCCTCATTTCAAATTTCTTTTATGAAAATGCTTTCAAATGTTAGCCAGCTATTTCACACATTTCATAATTAGATAAAGGGAGTTTCTTCTTCATGTTGACAATTCTCAAATTTTTTTGGTGTTAATGTGTGTATCTTTCATTTTCTATTTGATGTTACTATTTGTTTGCAGTTCACTTCTGAAAAATGTTGGAAAAATTCATTTGTATTAGTGTTTGTTCGTTATGTCTCCCTGCGTTCATGAATTTTCTTAATTTTCTATTGCAGTTCCAGACCTCGGAATGCTGCAAGCTGAACCCGCCGAAGAAGACAAAAACCCTTTATGTCCTTCGAAGTGCAACAACGAGTGTGGCAAAGACTGCCCGATGGCCTGTTGTTCAGACTCAACATCAAGCCTTTTGCATTAACGTCAAGGGAGCATTCAAACCTAGCTTAAGGTGGAAGGGAAGTGGAAAGAGCCTTAAGGTGGTTATGACTGGGACGGGTACACATGATCCTTCCCGTCCTAGCCAATCACCGTCTTTCTTTGCTCACCGGCCTACCAATCTATCCCATCATGGAATGCTTCTCCGAGTTATTGAATCTGCATTCGAAGCATGGTGGTTTTTGCTAGCAAAGCATGGCAACGTTTGTCAAATCAGGAATATAACATTATATTCTCTCATTATGTGGAGAAACTCTATTTTGATAGGCAAACACGCTATAACGGGAACCCTGTATTTTACACCAAGTCCATTATTTTGATTCGTTGTGGGATGTTGTTGTGTACGTAATTGGCAAGTACTTTACTCATTTATTTACATTTTCGTCCGTTTTTATAATTTTATGCCACCAAATCAAAACTTTGCATAAATAGAACGGGTTTATCGATTCCCCTGCATGTCAATTTTCCTTTTCTTAAATAAAATTGCTGTTTTAGAGCAAAACGTCTTTAAATTTCCAATGTATGCGAACCATTTACACGTTTGTTTTATTTTACATTTTCAATAGCTTTGCGTTCATTTCTGCATAGTTTAGATGTCCCAATTTATACCTCGATACATTCACTCATTTTTATAAGAAGCTAAGCTTGGGATCAGCAATCAGTTTCTAAATTTTTATTGATTTCAGTGCTGGACTTTTTTAAAGGTTTCTATGGTACCAAATGTCAGCGAGCTTAGAAGATGCTCATACCTCTCAATTAAGCAGGATATATGTCTAAGCGTCGACAAGAATCAAAACCACCAATTATTAAAAGCTGGATTTTTGAGCAGAATATTTTTGTGACCTTAGGACTCTGCTACTTATGTTCGATCTTTGTAAAAAATGGGTCAACGGGTGTTTGCAAGATTAACGTGCAGTCATGAGTGTTTGCGCTCGTATCACTGGCAACTTATATAACAATATAACAATTTGCCCGTGCGAAACCCGTGCGATAAAAGCATCTGATTATATAAACGTCTTCGCATGGTTTTTTGTCACGTTGCTAAATAGGAAATAAATTTAACTCAGTTTTAGAGAACACCTGTCGTACGTTTTGAACAATTGATCTTGATAGTTTTATGTTTAATAAAACACAGCGAAATAAAACAGAAACACATTGCTTGGGTTTCTACATTGATTTATCCATTGGCGAGTTTTACAATATTTTGAAATGTGTTACGGCTTCTAACCAAAAGATTTAAAACAGCATGAAGTGTTGGGTCTTCTTGCACTTTGAATTGGTGATTTGAATTGGTAATTTACATTCCACAATTAATCATGCCCATCAGCTTGGCCCTTCTTCGCTTGTATGCGTAGCCTTCGATTGATGGATTTCGCCTGCAGTACCAATGATAAACTGCGGAACCGGGAGCACGATCTATCTGGTATTCTGGAAGACGCTCATACGGGTCCATGGAATACATATCAGCCCCTAGAAGGAAAGGCATCTTATCATAAAACTGCACGACAGTATGTCTGTATTTAATCACCTAAAACGTATTTTCGCGCAACAGAATTGGCAAATTCATCCAACTGAGTATTTGCATACCAGCAATCTCTGAATTGTGCGCAGCTGGCGCGGACCCATTAAAATTTCCATTAAAAGCAACAAATGAAGGCTCTCACATCATCACAAACTGTGTTTCTCTCCGGCTGGACGATTTCCCGCCATCAGCCGAGCGCAAAGCCTTTGACAGCGCTGTCGACTTGCCCTGGAAGCGTTTTTAGTTTTTCCAAGTGCAAAACAGCCTCATGTGAAGCTCGGGCCAGCAATTTTTGCTCTTCGCTAAACCTCGTATCCACCCGAGCATGCCGAATAGAATGTCAGCGTGACCGCAGCGTGTTAAAAAGCGCTTTTCAAGGCAATAAAAATCAATTTATAACTGCTTCACAAATTTATCGTCAATATGAAGCGTAAAAAAGCACAAGAAACCCAGCAGTTTCTAACAAAACCAAATTTGAGTAGAGTTTTTAAAGATATTTAAAGAAGATGTCTCTTGTCTTGAAATTGTCTTTATATTTTCATATCCGCGTTCGGGAGGCAATTTGCAAGAAGTCACGGCCCTCCCAAAGAGAAAGTAGATTTTATCGTAGAAAAGACTGACATTTTTACAAATCATCTTTTCGAAACTATTGAACCCCTTAAAATTATTAAACTCTTATAAAGGGATCGCTGAATCATGATCTTTTAGAATTATAAATTCTTGCTCTAGATCGATTTATGCTCGAAACATAATTTTCAGATTTGTAATTCCTCCTATTGTGGGCCATTAGACGTTAATAAAAGAAATTAATCCTGTATACAAGATTAGAAATTGAAACTGAAATATAGAATTAAATATCACAATATGGCGTGATCTTAATTTTATACCCAAATGGGATATAAGAAATTAAATCAATAATTGTAAAAGCTATGCGCTTTACGAAGATAATAAATATGTTATTTAATTGTTCATGGCATTGCTTTCTGGTGATTTTCCTCGTTGTGGATTTCATCTTATCAAACTTGATGCAAAAAATGAGAAAGATTTGCTGCTAACTTACCAACGAACACAAGCACTGCACATACGAAGAAAACGATGTGTATTTTGGAAGCCATTCTGCGTAACTGAATTCACGAGCAGCTGCTAGCAGATCACCATCTGTTTCTTGCCGGTGAGCTTCGATTCTGACTACTCTCGGTGCTGCGTTTAGCCTTTATAGCTCCCCACAACAAATCGAACAATGACTTCTTGCCGTCATCAATCCACGACACACACCCATTTACATTGAAACCCTTTGCAGGCGCAACGCTCCGTATCCGTTTGTTATTCAAACATCAAGTCAGGCAGGTGGTCGCTTGATGTCTCCCATTCATCGAATCACCAAAATATATTTCTAATCTTCCTTGCCGATTTTTATCACTTTGTTTGTACAGACTTACAGCTTATCCTGGAAAGGTTTTTAAATTCACTTTACTAAATCAAATGCCCGTCCTAGCAGACAGAGAATGTTTCTTCGAGCAGATGGGATTTACCGGAGCAGATCAATTTTGTAAATCACCTATCTTGCGCCGTTACCTCAATCTAGTAACAATCAATGTTATCAGCAAAGAAAACATTGAGAATAGAAGATCAAACTTTCTGCTCTTCGTATACTTGAAAAATGTCAGAGAAGATAAAATCTCCGCTTCATCTCGCGCTTATTGTAACATGTGCGACAGAACACCAAAACAGTGTCGATTTTCGATGAGACGAAATTTAAAGTCGTTAAATATGCGGTAAATTTTGACACTGTTACGTGGCAATCAAAATGGAGAGAACATGCTATTGCATAAAATGCAGACCAAAGACACTTATTATCGCCTACTGGCTGGCTAGATTTGCTTGATGACCAACTATTGGTCTGGTTTTTTCACTTATGACTGCTTTGCGGTTTTTGTTATTAAATCATCTACGAACAAGAATGCAAAGCTCGTTTCGACACCTTCTGGCCTGACAGATTCGTGCAAATCATGTTAATTTTTACGTCAAGCATTGTTAAATTGTCTGTTAAAAGAAGCTATGATTTATAGAATGCTTTAAAGAGAAGGGAACAAGGAAACATCATTTCTATTTCCTTATATTCCTAATTTTACTTCGATTGAGGCAGGAGGCATTTTAAACAAAATCCTATTCAAAGAAACAAGGATTGCAATTATCAAGAATTTCCATTCACAGTGACTCATAAATTAGATTTGCTACACGTTTTCCCAATTTGCTTCAACCGGAAAAAATTTTCAATGTTCATGCTTGGATTAAAATTGTTATAAAAAAAGCTCTTCAAATATTTTCTAAAGAACAACTTTATTGTTTCATTCTAGTATAGTTTTATTTCATGCCTGTTTATCTAAAAGCCTTTCTCTTGCAAAGGAACTGTCAAGCAAATTTCTATTGTGTGATCTTTGCTGCTGAATTTTAACGAATTGCAAATATTGTTTTGAGGTGCGAGCGCATGAATCGAAACTTTAATTCAAAAAGGAGATTTTCGGGCCAACGCAATCAAGAAGAAATGGCGGATTTTCAGATGCCAATTGAAAGAAGATACAGCTTTTGTTGTGTGTCAGGTGTGGCTAAGGTTTTCGTTGAAATCAAAATTGATATCCTGTGTGCACAAATCAATTATTTTTCTAATTCGCATGGAAGATCAAAAAGCCACTACAGCATCTCGCCTTTAATTCCCTTTTTATTGCACACAATTGCTTATTTCATTTTTCATGGATTTACATATCACCAATTCAATGCTATTGATCTCTTGTTTAACATCTATCATTTTTCCAGTTGAAATAAAACCCAGGATAAGGAATCTGGAACCCTAAACACTAAATACTAAGAACAACATTACAATCAACAGTGTTGTTGCCTTTTTTATTCATCACATGTTTTCCTGCGCTTCTCAAATATCACCGATAAAAATTATCGAGGAGCTCTTCAAGTTGTTGGCCTAAAATAACAGTTTCCTTTTTTGCAAATGGCTTTAAAAGAAGCAAACATTTGAGTAAACTAAAGCTTTTCATCTGACACTCTTCAGAGTTTAAAATGTCAGAACATAGATCGAAAACTCTACGCTAAGAAATATATATCCAGTTGTGGATCGAAATAGTCCAATCAGAAAAGCGAGCACATAGCTGTGAGGTTACCCGATCAGTGCCGCCTGCCTATAGAGAATGTTACCATTGGAGTCCTAATGTGAAAATTCCTCTTGACCAATGCTGCAAACGCAGAATTCAAGGTGGTACCTGAGACAATTTGTAAATGCCAGAGGGGATTCCGAGTTGTCAGGGTGCACAAAAAGAAAAGTATGAATGTTTCCAGGTAGGGAGTTCTCACATCCTTAACCTCGTATTAGCCCTTAGGTTAAGCCATCCAAGACTCAGATTGAGGGTCATCTAACGTTTCCTAAAAAAGGTGCAAAAATTCATCGAAAGGCGATAATTTCAGCTGGTGAATTGTTCTTTATCAGGATCCTCCTTTGTTTATTCCTGATACCCTCTCAGCATCTTAGAAGCCAATTGCCATTTACAGGATTGAAATTACAGACACAAGTGCGGCCTAGTCATGTATAGTTAGCTGTCAATTCCCGTCAATCTATACGACGCTAAATAGCTCGACAACCAATAACCTTTTCAACCAGGAGAAGAACTAAATCCAGGATTTCATTGTTCATATTTTGTGTCTTAAAAGGTGATTATATAAATGTGTTCATTGCAGACGCCATTCCGCAATCTTGGTTCCTTGTTATACTAAAACCGGGTACAGCTGCAAAATTTAGCACCGTTTAAAAAGGTCTTTAAACTGCAAGATTTCAAAATGGTACGAGAAGGAGACAAACCATTATAATTAAGTGAACGAAAGGTGAACGAACATTGTATCCAAGTGCGGACAGAATGTAACATGAGAGGGAAAATGGCGGACCGGATTGGTTCCGTTTTATTGATCCGTCACAGGGTCAACGCTTGAAGGAAATATTGATGAGATGCCTCGGCCAATGCAGCTTTCTCTTTCAATTGGGAATTTTGAATTTTTGGTCACAGCTTGCACAACAGTTATCAATTAAACAAGTCGTTGTGTGCTGGCAAGTCATGTCAACTTTTCGAAACTTGAAATGAGACGGAAAACAGAAAGCCAAGCTCGCGAATCTGAAAAAATATTTCATAAACACATGAATTTAAACATATTACAAAACAAGTATTGATTAAATAAAATTTTTGATCAGATATACTTAAATAGACGAAGCGTTCGTAACGCAAATAGTCTAAAAATTCGAACCTTGTTTAGAAAACAAAATTTGATGTTTTCATTAGATAATGTTAAAGGTGTTTATAAACTGCAAATGTCAATATAATGTTATTAGACTGTTAATGATCGCAAAAAGAAATGATTACCAAACAATTCGTGTTTAGCACAAAACAGAAAAAGTGCTGGATTTCAGCCGACCTAATTAGAAAACAGAATGACATAAGAGTCTGTTATATTGAAGTGAGAAATTTAAGGTCAGTTTTAAAAATTGAGTAAGATACATGAAATTAGGAACAGAATAAAATAATAACTAAAATGGGAATGATAAGCAAATATCTGAAAGCATAAATAAAGTAACTTCAGCAAAGAAAAATATACATTGTTGCTTTAATAAAGCAAAAAAATAACTCAAAACTTCATGTCAACACAAAGCTCAATTAAACTTTATTAAAGAATCTTAACTTCATTAGCCTAAAAACCTCGAAATGCGATTTCTGTTCATCAAAAAATATTTGCCAAAGACTTAATATTTACATAAGACTTCGCAGGCTCTGTTAAACTTCATCGAATTAAGAGATGAGGTTAACAGAGATCGTCTTTGCCAAAGATATCTAAATATCAAAGGTGTAAGATATCAAATTGTGAAAAGAGCTCTGTTGTATTCCATTTCGCCTCTTCCGCATCACTGTCAAACTGGAAACCCCGCAACTCCTCGTCCATGCTTAAGACGAACTCCAAAAGAGCATTGTCCAGCCATGTTGTTTTGTCTGGGCAGACAAATCCTCCTTCAAAGAATCCAAGATGTCCTCCGTGTTTGGTCACAACAAATATCACTTCGTTATTTGTATCTTGATGGGACAAACAATTATCAGTCTTGGACTTCTACTTTACAAAAGCAACAGCTTTGATAAACGTTTAGGGCTGTAATTTTAAAAAAATGCGATCTGGCTAAACCAAAGTGCCTTGGGAGGTATGACTTCATCGATGTTAGAAACTAGAATAAATGTTCCTATTGACTCCATTAACTAAAAGCTAGATCAGTCATTCTTAAACTCCGGCCCGCACCAAAATTTCATCCGGCCCGCCGAATACTTTTTATCTCGAAAATATTTTTTGCCAACATTTTCAAAATTTGGAATTCGACTTATCTTTGGTTTTTTTGTCCCCACCAATATTTTTCTTTTTTTCTGTAGCAACTTTTAAATGCGTTTCGTAGACAGTTATTGGTCAACAAGAGAGTACCGAAATAGAAAATGCTTTATTTAATCAATTGATCGTTTTATAGCGTTTAACTAACTGTTTTTTAATTTGTTTCTCTTCCCCATCTTACACGCTGTTATGCTAAGAATACTCTAAAACCTTGCAAGACTTTCCTTTTTCATGTCAAAAGACAAAGCTATGGAACCTAGTTATGAAAGAATATTGCCTTTAAATTTCTCCCGTTTAAATCTATTTGAGGTGCTGGCCATTCCTACATTAACATAACCTAAAATTTTTCTTGCCGCCAACCTGGTTGCGGCCTTTACTAAATACATTCACAAACACAAGATTTTGACCTTTATTTAGAATACATTGCGCAGTCCCTCGACCTGATTTCAGCCGCGCTTCAAATCGATCCAACAAGGGACTAACGAAGAATAACGTTCTAGCCTAAAAAACAGCATAGAACGATCTTCTGACTCAGCTTGGTACAGAAAATATAAAATTACAAACCTTTGTGAAAACTATTTTTTGGGTTTATGCGAAGATAGGCAGGCATGAAATAAAAGGACTGCTAAGATCCTATCACTGACTTAGCCTGGTAAAAATGAGATCTGAGTTTCATTTTGAGCAACCAAGGTATGTAAAAGTTGAAAACCAGAGACCCCCGAAGAAAATCTATATGTTTTTCTGGGCCGGCACTTAAAATAATTAAAAACCCCTGAGCTAAATAAAGAGTCCAGCCTTAGTTTGCTGTCGAGAGCTAAAGGTCTAAATTTCCGCGAGTAATTAGTAAAAGAGAAGAAAAACAGGCTAACTGACGCAGTAATCCAATTTGACAACGATTGGTAGCAGTGCGAAGCCTATGGACTGGGTTTCGCATTATTGTCAACTTTTTGACGCATTTCCTATTTCATCCTGAACAACATGAAAAGATAATCAAATTTATCTAGCGGAAACGTATAATTCTCATTAACTGAAAACGTTAAGTTTAAAAAGACTCGAGGATAGCGAATAAATAAACTGCGAATCCAATCATAAATCTATCATTTAAATGTAAAAGACATTAATCCACAGCAAAGCAATGATTTATTAAACTGATGTTGTGAAATTCATACAAATAATACTCACCCACGAGTTTCTTTGGAGAATCCAATAGAAGTTCTGGAACCAGCGGATCATCAAGTGCATTCAACAGCAACAATGGGATTTTTATCTTTGAATAAAAAATTGCGAAGGCCATTATTGAAAATTGGAGACGCCATTTTGATTAACGTAAAAAGAAGGTTATATAAAAAATAACTTGCTTCATAGAACCACGTGTATGGCAAAACCACCTTTTGCTTCGAATGGGGGTAGAGCCAGCGAGGGGCTGTCGATGCATAATTTGTCGACTGTCGATGTAGAATTTTGTCGATTTGAACGAAAACTTTAAAAGTTTCATAAAATTGTGCAAATAATTTATATAATAGTTAAAAAACCGTTTTAAAATCATCCATCTGCATTTTAAAAAACACTCAGACGAATATAACATTTATGCTTTAAAAAATTGCACCGATCTTAGAGGCAAATGCTGTCGAAGTTGTCCGGGCGGGACAAACGAGAATCGCTCTTCTTATAATTCTAAAGATAAATTATTCAATACAATTCTTGAAATACTGTTATGAAATAAACAATTCAAACCATTAGCTAAAATTGCGGAGTTTGAAGGGCAAACATTTCTTATATCTTTTGCTTAAGAAGATGAATCTTGAGTCATCTGTTACCTTTTGCATGTAATTGGCGGAACTGCACCATTTATAAAAATGATTAACGTCATCAAAGCTCGCAAAACGCCTGAGGAAAAGCAAAACAAATTAACTAGTAGTGAAAAATGTTAAAGAAACGAAGAACTTAAATTATGAGTTAGGACAAAGGACTGATGAGACCGGACTTAAAGAAGTTTCTTTCTTTTCAGAATGTTTAATATTACTCATCTGCGATTTCAGGATTGACAAATTGATTCTTTTGTCACTGATCAAGTTCATCGCCCCAAACCATAACAAATTACCAGCAACAAATGAAACCTGGTATTGGCAATGTAAATTAAAGTCTGGAGTGAAGTCAAATCTAAAACACCTTACCCTGCCGATTTCAAAACACACTGTTATCACACCGGCAGAAGCAGAGAGGAAGGCGGTAAATATGGACTGAATTTTGAAATAAAAAACAAAGAAGTTAAAAAGAAAGCACACGAGTCGACGACGCACAAAAAGATGACGCACGAAGGTGACAATGTGCCTCTAGATATTGACGCATCAAGTTCATCAAAGACTGAGTGGCTATAGGTGCAGGAATAATTTTGAGCTTATTTTAGAGGAAAGAAAGCGACTGGCACGCCATGTATCGACATTGCCACTGATTGACGATCACCTATGTATTAATCAAAGGTCTGGTGAGAGGAAATCTTCAATAGAGGCTTAGGCTAAGAATAAGGTTCCAAAACCCTCGTTGTTTTGATGGTTCTTACTTGGACAACTCTGAGTCAGGGTTAAAAAGAAAACCTGCTATTTTCCGTCTAAGGAGGACTGCCACGTATATTTTCTTGCTGTTTTCTCATCATGCCAAACGTTTTAAGAACAGTCTTTCCTAAAAATGTTTAGTGCAAACAAAATGTTTTGCAAAATGTGCCTGCAAGATCTTGTTAAAATGTGGAAACTGAAACCGATTAAAGTGAGGGACTAGAACTTTTTTTATATCTGTTCAGAATACTTTTGGCAAATCTATTTGAAAGAGTATTTTGGCTTCAGAACAGTACGGAATTCAGTTTCATTTCTTTTTCATGAGTCATTTTTATTGTTCAGAGACTAGCAAAATTTGGCTGATCTATTTTAAATTAAACTAACTATTGAAAAATGATAGTTTTATCAATAGATATAGCACTATACAGTTTGAATACACTTTGACATAAGGAAAATCTGGCTCCGAGTTTCTTATTTTTTCCAAAACTTTTGATGCAATCGAGTCCTTAGAGTCATTCAAGCGACAAACGAAATTTCAGTCTTGTCTTAATGTTTTCCCAGATTCCTTCAAATATTGTTTGATACTATCCTAATGATTCTTTCATCTTTTTTCAATATTTTGACCATCTCTGTCCGCTTCTCAAAGACTGGCCAATGTCCATTATTCGGGATTTTGTACAATGTGCTTCAAGGGCTGCAACATGGGCAGCACAGCTCTCAGTTCTGTTGAGTGCAAGAGATCTCAACTCGATCAATTCTCTTACAATCTTCTAAGTTTTCTCTTCGTTCTCACTCATACATTGTTTGGTAAATCAAAGCCTTTTCATAAATTTTGTCAAAGACTGCATTGCTTTCGAAATCATCCTATCTATATTTTCATACGTAGGATTCATTTCATCATTCTCATTATCTTGTCACCTTGTATTATCCTCAAGATTTGACTGCGCTATTGGAATGCCATGGTATGTATTACTAGACCACGTGGTCCTGTTGGGAAACCCCTCTTCATCTATCGTTACAAGTATCCTAATAGATTAATTCCAATGAAGACAACATTAAATTACATCGACATGGTGAAACTTGTACCTCAATTGTTTCTCAAAATTGTCAAACAATTGGAATAAATTGAAAAAGCTCATTTTTCAGATGCGCCGCAAATGAAATCTGATCTTTATGGTTTGCCCGTCGTTTCTAAAAGTCTAAACACTCCAAGAACACGCTGAATACCCCAAGAACACCCTAAGAACAAGCCATTAAATGGCTGAACACCCTTTAAAGCATATCAAAATCAGCATATCGTTCGAAAAATAATTTGATTAATCAATCAAAATTTATTTTGGAGTTCACACTTTTGGCGCGCAAAACATCAATTGGTTGTAACATCACCAACATCATTAGACTTATCAGGCCCTTTTCCCCCCAAAATTAAAGTCTTACTGTAGCTATATGACGCACACACTGAATCATCGGCTACCAATAATTCACTGATATCTGAACAGTTCGATTCTACTGTAATGGCTGGTCGGCCTAAAAGAGAAGTCGAAGTCGGCAAGATTTACGCTGCTTGTTCAAAGGAAACGAAAGAGCGATATTTTAATTGTCGAGCGCGATGCCATCAAAGCAGAAATGGAGACTTTTTACAACGTTTGCTTGATATTATCGAAGACATTTCTGAAGAAGCTATCCAACAAGCCAATGATCATGATAGACCGCCCGAAGATAAAGCGAATGTCAAAAGCTCGTCTGTCGAAGGAATGCCAGAAACTGACAGAATGCAAGACATAGAATATGTTCGTGTTATTCACAAAATCAGCAGCGAAGTAACCTCTGCTCTCGAAAAGACAGTTTAATTGACATACTTGTTGTGCCTGAACATATGTTCGGGTATACTACTTGTTAATATGTCAAATCAATCAGCTGCATTTTTTCATTTTATAATATATTTAATAATAATAATATAATTTTCTTCTTGAATGGGTTTATTTACTGTGTTGGTAATTCGTATCAAACAGATAAGCGCGTCTAGTGTGAGACCGCCCAGGAAGGCTTCTTGCAACAAATGATCAAAACGAGGCTATCAGGTAATTTATAACGACAGTAAGACTTGAATTTTGATTGATTGACAAAATTAGTTTTCGAACGATATGCCGATTTTGATAGGTTTTGAGCGGTGTTCAGCGGCTTAATGGGGATTTTATGGCTTGCTCTTAGGGTGTTTCTGGGGTGTTCAGCCTGTTTTTGGAGTGTTCTGTCTTTAAGAAATGACGTCTACAATCGCCGCTCGCGCATATTGACGAAGCCTGTTTAAGAAGGCTTTTCATTGAAATATTATTGCTCGTGTTGTGACCTATGCCATTGGCGTACTTTTTGGCGTAGGGTGCCTGTTGGCGTGCCCATGGCGTAGGGTGGCGTACGGTGCCTTTTTGCGAAGGGTGGTGTACCTGTTGGCGAGCCAATGTTGTTAATCTGGTGCAGCAATGGCCTAGCACAGAACAATTTTGCGTAGCAATGGCGTAGTCTTGGTGTACTTCTGCACCACAACAAAAAACTTAAAGAAAGAAAAATTGCACTAGCTTTGCGTCCAAAACAATTGCATCAAGATTACTTCCACAATTATTCTTGCAACTATTTGTAGGGTAAATGTAAGGGTCCTCCGTTCGCAAATTTTCAGATTTGTCGGCAAATAAACGATGACTCAGCCACTTTGTCAACAAATGGGATTTGAGCGCACTAGCGATGGTCCTGGAACTGCTTAAGAAATTTTGTTTTGCCTACAAGAACTATCAATGCTGGCAAAGTCTACCATATTTATGGATGATAATGATGTAGGTATTTTGTATAGTATATTAAATATGACAAGGGGATGAAGTAAATAGAAATATTTTTATCTGACCCAAATTATCTTGAAAGTAACCTTAAAAAAATAGTTGCAAAAAAATCATGATGAGTTTGTTTTGAGCGCAAAGCTAACGCAATTGTTCTTTCTATACGTTTTTTGTTGTGGTGCAGATGTACACCAAGCCTATGCCATTGCACACCAAAGTGATCTGTAGTTAGCCATTGCTACGTTTAATGTACACCAAGCCTATGCCATTGCTACGCCAAAGTGATCTGTAGTTAGCCATTGCTACGTTTAATGTACACCGTTGCTACGCCACAAGGTAGGCCAACCCTACGCCAAAAGGTACGCCAATGGCGTAGGCTACGTTTTGTCGCAACGCCTATTACAACAATTCAAATAGCAAATATTAGGCAGCCTAGCTTTGATATGATTGGTTGCTTTATTATCGTAACTTGTATAAGATCTGTAGCATTTGCAAAACACCGCTAAAGTGATGCTTTGTGCTGGATTCAACGAATTCAAGTTCAGATTCGGTTTGGCCATATCTTAGAAAATTAATAAGGGAACTCAAAGAGAAAACTGACAAAGATTTACCTAATTACAGTGCTATCCAATTCCTGTAAACTAGATGATGACGATATTTTTCTCCAATCCAACCTTTCAAACGATCCCTTTCTTTCGAATTCTAAAAAGCTTTTTCGGTGCCTTTGTGTGATTAATTTTTTGTAATTTCTCGTTATCAGCCAGTTATAAAAACGACGAAGGCCTTTCCATTCCATCATCAGCGGAGACGCTCTGTAAACAACAAAAGTTTCTTAATTTCATTAACACTTGAAGTCAAAATATTGATCATGGCAGAAATTCGAGTCTTGCAAATCATATGAGAAAATAAATAAAAGTTAATTTTTAAAGAAAGATAATCTCCTGTGTGCTTAAACATTGAAACCCAGAGAAAACATGTGAATACTCGCTAAACATACTAGTCCAGCTCTATCTTTTCTCGTCAAAGAGGGATGTTTGAGGTGAAATTTGAAACCTCTTTATGAATTAAATGCATGCAAATGCAACAAAGCTGACACCGACTTGAAAACAAGTTGGCAGAGCACATTTTCTGAAAACAGTTTCTTTAAATAAAAGGTGGTACACTTCAACTACATTCAAATATGACCTCGTACCACAAAATTTTTAAGCTTTTTAAACAAAAATGGATAGGAAAGTGCTATTTTCAATGATTACCGCGGGTTGTAAGGCTATAGCATGGCTTTTATTGATAGGCCGTGGCTTGAATTGCTTTGGGATTAGAAGGGATAAGAAGGGATTAGAAGGGGTTATTTGTTAGAAACTTCAGGACATATCAAGACAAACCTATTGATGTAAGCAGGAAAGATCATTATCCAGCAAAACCTGGTCATTGACAAACAAAGTTTTCTCACCCCCTGACTCAACTTTGCCGAACCAAGAGCTAAACCAAAAGTTAAATGTTTTTGTCATTTCTTAAGAGTGAATATTTGCTACCATACAAAAATTTTGAAATACTTCACTTACTTTACCACGTCATATCCTTGACAAATTGACAAAGCAAATGAAAAGAACTTCTGACGAACTGGTTGTTCTCCGAGATACTTCAGCAGCACATTTCCTCCCATTGAAAAACCAATGCCAATTAACTTTCTTCTTGGAAATCTCTCGTTCAGGTCCTTAACAACTAAATGCAAATCTGCTGTGCATCCTTGAAAAATATGATAGAAAAAAGGATATGAAAATATGATAAACAGTACAAGAAAAAAGGTCCTGAGCAAGAAAGGGATTTATTTACAAAATGGATAGGACTTCTCAGTTTTGACACAGATAAATCGAGAAATACCTTATGAATTTCATAAATAAAATTTACCAAGTTTACATCAAGTTTACACTGAGAGGGGGTTGGGAGAAGGTCATTTGCTCTGAGGGCACAAAGTGTCCGTATGGGTTTGGTGTGTTTTTATACCCTGTGGATATAGCCAAATAACAAGGACAAAAGGCAGTTCAGATCATATTTTTCTACGAGAAGAATTATGTTAAGGGCCCTTTGGCAGCAAATGGAACAATGTCAGCAAAACTGCATGAAAGAGTCTCCTAATATAGAAGGGCTCCAAATTTGAAATGCCCTGCAATATAGCTCTTTGACAATTGTTAAGAATTATAAATACATTCCAAAAAATGAAAATGTCAGAGGTTCAGGCCTTGAGAGAGTTTCTTACTTTCTCCGTTACAGCCATAGAAAAATATAATTTGATGCAATCCATTAAGCTTCAACAAGTAGTCTTGAAATTGCCGGTAGAGGAAAATCAATACCAAATTAAGAAACATTTCTTTAAATAATTCTTTAAATAATTTTTATTTGTACGGTACTCAGGCTAACTTTGATTTTACTTTTGAGCCACCTGAACGAAGAAGGACAGGTTCCTTTTAAATGTTTTGGTTTCAAGGATGGAAGTACCCCGAAAGGTTTGGCATTGCATCAGTAAAGATCGCCTCCCAGTTATCTCTGACGAATTTTATATTCTCTCTGAATAAGTTTATTGACTCCTCCGTATTTTCATCTGCTTACAAAGCAACTGCTTGCTTTATGTTTAGAATCTAAATAACTATGCAGTAATCAATAAAAGATGTTTTGAAACTATTTGGAAATGTTTAAAAGCGAAATTTGTTTTATCTCTTCAACGCCTTTTCTGTTGTCTTAGTCTAGGCTGCCTATAGAAAGTCGGTTCACGCTTGCTGTCCCTCGGTTTAAAGCAGAAATGCGCCAAGAACAAAGTGAAGAACAAAGTAGAAATGCGCCCGTCATACCTGAGATAATCAGCGGCCCACAATGGCTCTAAAAAGGGCCTACATCAAGAATCTGACCAATGTTATGTAACTCGCTTTGTCTGTCAGTTATAGCCAGATGCTAGCCAAATTGAATGATAATAAAATACAATAAATTTCAAACTGCAAAAACTTCTGTGACGAAGGAATTTGCCATTTTGTATAAGATATAAAGACATACCATAAGTAAAAATCCTTGGCGATGTCAACTTTACAATTGGGTGTGCACCAAGATGATTGAAAACAGCGATGTCAAAGCCATTATCAAGCAAAATTTCTGTGAACGCTTGGATGTATACGGTCTTGGAAGAATTTGCAATTCCAGGCACAATAAGCACGATGTTTTCTTTGTCTGACTAGATTTTGAAAAAAAGGAAACGTTTGTTGCAATGAAGAAGATTACACTAAATGTTGCAGAAAAAAATTGGCAGTAAAGCAAGTCATCTAGTGTAGAGTAACAGATAAACTAGGCCTGAATTGGCAGTTCAAGTGAAGTTTTTCTTGACAAAATCTCTTCAATGTTCAAAAAATCTCTTCAATAAAACAACTAGGCCATCGTCAATAATGAGACATTTAAAGACAAATGATCTGCAGCAATAGAAGATAAATTCAAAAGCAGCTCAAATTACAGCTGTAGGAGAAGAAAAGTTGGTGGCAGGCACTGCTGGGTGGAGGTGGGAAAGAGTATCGGGCATTTGGACTGGGGGCTTCAACAGGCATAACCCTCAGCAAATGTTTTAAAAGCAAACCTTAATTCTTTCTGCATAATTTCCTTCTTTCTTTCTAAGTATCGTTATGTCTATTTTCTACAAATAAGTATTAAAATCCATGATTTCTTATCTATTAAAATCTAAATTTTTAGAAAAAGATTACGTCCAAAAAAGGAAAACCTAGACAGTTTCAAGCAGGGTATGTGGTCAAAACACCAGGTGCATGCCACGAAAAATGATGTTAACAAATATTCCAAGCAAGGTTCCACTGATCTCAAAAGCAGTCTTCAGAAACGGGAATATGAGGTATTACTTTTTTCTGATAGGGGTATTACAGTATAAACAGTGGCAATAGTCAGTCTTTAAGATACAACATTTTGAAAAATGCCCTAGACATTATGCTACTGACATCAAATGTGTAGTTGCTACCGGCTAGTAGGCAATACCCATTATGGGGACTGTACTATAACATAAGATTAGATTAGATTAGATTAGATTAGATTGGATTAGAATTAGATTAGATTACAGGCATTTACTAAGCTATAGGTAGGTGAAGCATTAAATGTGCAAGAAGAAACTTCAGATGTTGTTATAAAAATATCACTGTTTATTATACACAGGTTTACTGGCTTTGAAAGAATGCAGACATTCCAGATGCCTACTAGGGCTTATCAGCAACATGCTTTTGGAATCCTTATTTGCTATTGGTTGGTTGGATATAAGGCAGCAAATCACACTTACATTGCTGGTTGCAGCACATTGATTTTTGCTGTAGTAGTTGTAAGTAACTGTGGCACCATCAGATGCATAGAGTGTGTGCAGTCGGCTTTTCAGTAGTCCTGGCTTGCCAGCTCTTCCAATTGCAGCATGGATGATTGTCTGAATGTGTCCATTTTTGCCCCAAAGGGAGGTTGGCTTGTATCTATAAGAAAAAATCCTTTCAATGATTAAAGCTGGAGAAAGCCAGATTAAAGGAATGTTCTCCTAGCAATGTCTGGTATTTTTTGCTTATGTTTTATGATAACAAGTTATGTATCATTCTGTAATGCAGCTTGCATATGGCTGCGTTTGTATCAAAATACATCTCAGCTTGAAGACTGTTAGACCTGCACAAACCAATCTCGGGGAAAGTCCCGAAAAAATATTAAATTTCTCTGTGCATGTGGCACTACGAGCGAGTCAATTCAACACCCAAGTATAGTAACACAGCCAACGTTGATGTTAAACTAAGCCATTATTGGTACTTGATTTGCTTGATGTTAACATCTAACAATTTTGGAACAAAGTGGCAATCTCTCTCTGATACTACATAGTTGCCAGAGGAAAAGATGGTCAAGAAGGCATGGCAGTCCAATTGTGACAAACACCCAGAGTTTCACATTTACATATTTCAGAAACCTTGCAATACCAGATACCAAGCCTTGAAAGACAAAACATATATCAGAGACACTTTAAAGATTGTGTCATTGGAAAACATGGTCTAAATATTATGCTTAAACCTTGCTGTCCTTCCATGATTAAAAATCGGAATTTCTTTGTGAATTGTTGACAAAAGGGGTATAACTTAGGAAAAAAGGCATTTAGAGAACATTCTACCACAGAATGACATATCCTACAAAATGACCTATCCTCCCCTACATTTGTACATTTCATTTCAAACCACAGCATGACATACCCTAAAAAATCACCATTGTGTTTGATGAACTAAGACCCATTTGCTGATATACTGATAATGAACCTATAAAAATATTACATTGTATGTTTGGGTAAATAGGATTCACACTTATCAGAAGACTTATACTGAATCTTTTCACTCAGTGGTGGACAATTGGTCAAATATTGGGGGGAAGCTTATTGTTTCGTCAAGTTGACATCACATTTTAACACTCATTCCCTTTTCCCCTTCCCAGGCAACCAACCCCCTCTTCCCCCTCCTAGGCAACCAACCCCCTCTTCCCCCTTCCTAGGCAACAACCCCCTCTTCCCCTCCGAGGCAACCCAACCCCCCTCTTCCCTCCCAGGCAGCCCAACCCCACTTCCCCTCCTAGGCAACCCACCCCCCTCTTCCCCTCCCAGGCAAACCACCCCCGCTTCCCCCTCCTAGGCAACCTACCCCCCTGTTCCCCTCCCAGGCAACCTACCCCCTCTTCCCTCTCCCAGGCAACCCACCCCCTCTTCCGCCTTCCAGGCAACCCATCCCCCTCTCCCCCCAGGTTTCTGCCACTGTGTTCACTGTTGAATCTCTTACTATACAGTCTTACCAAAAGCTGTGACCCAGCATTTTATCTGATAATTTAAGACAAATCTGATAAAGATGACCAATATTTTGTTCCCTCCTGACCAAGCAATTTCAGTTGATTACAATGATGTTAAAAAGAAAATTCATTCCGATTACATTTTAAATTATCTCCATTTACAGAGATTTTAACTAATTTCATTCGCAAATGGCTTGATCACCAATCAACATCAAATTGTTTTCTTCTATATTGGTGTGAGCTCAAGCCAAAGTTTGTAGTCACTCTTTTGGATTGTAAGCAATTTTGTGAGATCAATTATGTGGCAGATCAATTAGATCAATTAATTAGATTACTTTGTGGCAAGTATTGATTTAAATCAATTTGTACCAGGAATTTGGCAATCAACTTCAATGATTGATTCTAATTATTGACTGCATAACAAGACCATCCAGACACAACCACCCCAGCTTATTAACTAGAAACAAACTTTCTAACCCATCTTGCCCTATTGTCATAGACTGTGACACATGACTGCAAAATATTTTGTTTTGAATCATCCATTCTGCCATACTTAAGTTGCTGCTTGTAAGCCCCCTAGGCCCCACCCCCAACCGTTACTTTGGACCTTGTTTTAAAATGGTTGAAAATGTATTTACACACTGGCAATCACAAGCAAATCTTGGGTTGATAATCAGCCAATCAGGTCGTTGAGTTGATTAGTGTTTTTCTGCAGTTTTAAAGTATATCTTTTAACATTGTTATTACTGGCTAACATAGGTGAAACTTAATGACATTACATCATAATCACCTAGGCAGCTATAAAATATTTTAATGCATATTCAAGCATCCAAACCAATTACTTGTAATTAAACCCTTTATGAAAAAGGTTGGAATATTTGTGAGTAAGGAATATATGCTTTTAAAGTTTAAATTTAGGGAATGCAATTCATTTCGAAATTCCTTTTCGTTAAAATCTAAAGTTTGACGAGGGTCTGCTTGTTTCTATCAGGTCTCTACTGAATCTAATTGTTCTTTTAGCTAGCTTATTAATTATAGATTCAACCCGGTAAAAACATCATTAATTATAGATTGCAGGCTTGTACATTAATATAAAGAAAACAATGCAGGATGAATTCTTGAAATTCGTCGTTTCTTTTCCCATACGGCCTTCTATTTCAGGTTAACGACTAATATGCGGGATACAACTTACGGTTCCTTCAGCTTCCTGCATCTCTCTAAAGCCAACTTGCTTGTCTTTCCAGCTTCACTAACATAAATCTGCGGCTTTTCGCATTTTTCTCCCAATTTCAGGATGAACTTGCATATCACCGTAACAATAATAACAAAGATTGTTGAAAGAAGGCCAAACCCATCCAACCTCAAATCAACTGGAGCCATTTGTGACCACCATAGAATGTTTACCTCCCTTTTTTCTTCCTCGCCCTTACGTCATCTCACTTAGAATCTATCTCGAGGCTAAAAGCTATGAGGTCTTATTGTAGTTGTAGTTGTAGGAGCTGTGCTGTTCGACCTGATAGTCATCAATAAGCATGATTAATAGTCATAAATTAGCATGATTAATTATTTCAAGAAAAGGGTTAGGGTTAGGTTTAGGGTTAGGTATAGGGTAAACTTATTACGTCATCAGGTCGAGCAGTATGAAAACTAGACAGCTCCTTATTGTTAGTCTATCTTCTGACGTCGGATACCGTGATGCCTCGAATAAGCGCTTATTGAATTTTTGAGGCTCTAGGGTGGGCGTTTATTCGAGGGGGCTCTTACTTGAGGGGGGGGCGCTTGTTCGAGGCATTACGGTATATCTATTTTGTGAATTTTTTATGAGCACACGCCTCTTCCATTTAAGATTTTAATAATTTGGCCGTGTTCTGAAATTTATGAAGCAAACCAAAACCAAAGCTAGATTTGGGTCCCATCTTTTAACTGGAAATGTAACTGGAAACTTTTCGTTGTAATGAAAGGGTTCGACTGTACTGATGCTGGAAACTGTACCGATCAGGTGATGTAGCTGTGGCTTATTCATCTTTTTATTAAAGAACATGACAAGAATCTCCACCTGAGCCGTAGTTTTTGCTATTGATTTGAATTGTAGGACATTAAGGTTTCGATTTGCGAATGTGGGACAAAGACGACATACAGTATCTCGGATACAGTTTTTAACTAAATCTATTGTCTTCTGCATGCAAAAACGTGGTTATCAGCGAACATGATTGACAAAAATGCAGGAAGTAATGATATTGAAACTTCCTTCACAATTCGGTTGATGACACATTCACTTTTAGAGAAAACAATTATGTGGAGAGTCATTAGACACCTCCTTCGTGACTCTTACACATAAATAACGTCTAAATGGATTGGAGAATGAATAATCCGTTGCCGTTTCTTCGGTATTTTTATATCCGCCTAAATACAAGTTGAAATTTGGAATATAATTGCTTCTTCACACAACTAGATGTCGTTACAGTGGCCTGCTATTGAAGTATGACTCTCTTTAAACCACAACGTTGTCGTCTACGTATTGCTGAAACATGAACGCTGTCATTTCAAACTTATATGCATACGTACACACATACATGCACATATTTGCAAATAAGGTAAGAATGCTGATGTGAACCTGAGCTACTGTAAACTGAAATAACATAAATAAATATGCAAAGAAGCTTGGTAACTGTGCATATTTGAAAAAATGTTTAATGAAGTAAAGGTTTTAGATCCTTAAACGAGTTTCGTACTTGTTTTTTAACATATTTCCCAAAACAGACATAGCATATGCAACCCAAGGCATTATTGACTTTTAATAGATCTCTTCTGTGGCATCTTTGATAAGAACATCCATCTATTTTTGTCGCTTCATCTGGTCTTATGGGAATCGACAGATACTAAAGTTGTTACAAAAGTGGCTTAAGCCATTTGCAATTAATTATTGGTCAGTAAATGAGCGTCTGGGTGATATAACGTTTACTAATTGCTGTGTAGATTATACTTACTCTGTTAAATAATTTTTAATGCTATTTCTCCGCCAAAATTTGCTATGAAAAGGCACTAAAGGGACCCTCCGAATGGAAAAAAATACATTTTGAACACGGTTTGATTTTTTCTCCTTCCTTGGACTTTGTTATCAGTTCAGGTTTGTCATCAAATCGTAAAATTGCTATTCAATGTTTTCGTCATTATCTCAATTATTTAGGTTGCTTTGAAAAAAGCAAACATTTAGAAAACTACCTGCGATTCTGCTATCGAGCAGCATTTACTGGAAAACCCAGATTGTTCAAAAAAATATAACGGGAGCATGTTTCGGATAGTTGGTAAAGCCCGATCGTCGTTTCACCTAGCAGTTTTGGAATCTATCTACATAAGCTTGAAAAAACCGCTACTGTGTAGACAAAAGGAGTTCGCTTTCACTTTAGGACTCCACTGGTAACCTTCTCAATAGGCAAGCGGCACTGATTGCAACTTCTCAACAGTCATGTGCTCGTGTTTCTGATTGGCCTATTTCGATCCACAACTGGGTATATATGTTTCCTAGCGTAGAGTTTTCGATCTATGTTCTGACGTTTTAAACTCTGAAGAGTGTCAGACGAAAAGCTTTAGTTTACTAAATGTTTGCTTCTTATAAAGCCATTTTCAAGTTTTGTACCATCAAAAGATTGTTCAATTATCTAGGTACTGAAATTTTTTAAATAGAAATGGAGAGAGAAGACAACCCTGGTGCAAGCCTCATGCACTTTTGAACTAAAGACTTTGCTACCAACAACTGAATTCTTTGTCGTATCGGATTTTCTTTTCCTCCCACGGAGCTTTTTGATAAACTTGTTGAGGAAAGCAGCTTCCCAGATGATATGAAAAATGCTGATGTTTCTTCACTCTTCATCAAGGATGATAATATGAGCAAAAAGAATTATAGACCAATAAGTCTTCTTCCTACAATCGCGAAAATATTTGAGTGATTAATGCATAAACAATTATCTGAACTTGCTGCACGCCTTTTTTCATCACTATTAGGAGGGTTTAGACAAGAGTACGACAAACAGCATGTCTTGTTGAGCTTTTTGGAATACTGTAAGAACAGCATTGATAACAAGAGATATGCAGGAACATGGATATTTCAAAGGCTTTTGATTGTGTAAACCATGGTCACTTGATAGCAAAACTGAATGCCTATATATGGACTTAATATGGATGCCTTTCAGCTCAAAAGAAGCTATCTTTTAAATAGACAACAGAGAGTAAAGATCAACAGCTCTTTTAGTGATTGGAAAGAAATTAAAATTGGAGTACCCCAAGAATCAGTCCTAGGGCCTTTACTGTTTAATTTATTTATAAATGACATGTTCTGGTTCGCAAATTGCCCAAAGATCTGTAACTTTGCTGATGATACCACAATCTTTGCATGCCATCCGGATCTTGATACTATTACCAAGAAATTAGAAGAAGACAGCTCTGTGACAACTTTTTAAAATTAAATGATGACAAATGCAACCTAATGATATTTGGTGATAAAAGTACTGAAGCAACAGTCACAATTGGAAATTTAAAAATTAATGAAAGTGATTACGAAAAACTGTTAGGTGTGACTTATGATAAGAAATTAAGTTTCAAAAACATATTGAGGATTTGTGAAGAAAGGCCAACCAAAAAATTCACACGCTTGCTCGCTTGTCTAATTACATTGATCCTGTCAAATCAGAAATTTTCATAAAATCTTTCATCAGGTCGCAATTTAAATATTGTCCATTTGTATGGATGTTTCATGATAGAGCAACAAATTCAAAGTTGAATCGCATTCATGAAAGAGCGCTGCGATTGGTATGCAAAGATAGTGAATCAGAACTAGCCGAGTTGAAGAAAAAATATGGAACTAGGAATTCATCAGCACAATCTGCAACTGCTAAAGATTGAAATATTCAAAACGAAAAACAATCTGAATCCAACATTTATGAAAAACATTTCTACTGAGAGAGATATTCAATACAATCTGAGAAGTGAAAATCATTTGCCGTTGCCAAAAGTGAAGACATCATCATACGGGATAGAGAATATTCAGTACAGAGGTCACCATTTGTGGTCCTCATTACCAAGGGAAACTAAAGATTCCAACACACTTGTCGAGTTCAAACAAAAAATAAATTTATGGCATGGAAATACTTGCATCTGCAGATTGTGCAAAATTTTCATTAAAGATAAAGGGTTTTTATAGGTTTCGTATGGACATTGTAAAGTAGGTTTTAAATTACTTTGCTTGCGTTAATTAGCTTATTAGCTATATGTATATTTTTGTTCTTTCTTGCCAACGTTAAAGAAATTGTTAATGATATCAGAATGTAAAGCTATCATCATGTTTAACAGTTTGTGATCGATGTTTATAATATGTCTTTTCATTCTTTCTAATTAGGCTTCTCTTGCATTCAGGAAGAAGAAAGAGAAGTCGACCGGAAAGATCGGCCAAATTCCCTTTCTAACCTCTTTGAACATAATGTTCGCCAACGTCTTTGAACATAAAGTATAACTAGATTTCATCCACGCATTACATAGAATCGTTTGTATCAAGGGACGCTTAAAAGTTCGATAACTGGTAACAAGCAGTGTAATCCAGAGTCAGGGATCATTTCATTTCTTCTTCATTCTAAGCCTTTGCAAGCGCCAGCAGTGTGAGAAGAACCACTGACCATGTGGACATGAAGATATCGTTATGCAAGTCCTTATTAAGAGAAGACCACCCACTGCCCCCTATGATGCAAATCCTTATTAAGAGAGAAATCACCCACTGCCCCCTATGGCAAAACCATCCAAGCACTCTGGATAAGTGTTCAAACAATTGGCTAAAGGTCCATAATCCTCCAATGGCCTAGGTACTCATGTACACGTTGTCTCGGCATCCAATCACCTTTTGCACAGAAAATCTTCGCAAACACATAAAATAGCAACTTACACTCAGTGGGTGCAAGCAGTGCGCTTGCTAGCTCTTCGCTCTAGAGAGGTGTTCAGACCTCATTTGCCAACATAGTGCGTAAGATAACCTTCCTTTTTCTCGCCATGTTTGAATATTCACCGAAGAAGCACCCACACGTGGCTAAAAATCCTCGTTTTTGAGATAAGACCCTGTTCAAAATTGCAATTTACAGTAGATTAGCCTCAGCTTGTTCTTAATTTGTTCTCAATTTGTTCTTAATTTGTTTTTAATTTTTGACCAATTTGAGGCTCATATTTTATTAAAATTGTTGTTATAATAAAAGAGTGTATACAGAGATATGCAGAGGTTTAATATGACAAAAACCAATTTCTCCAGCACACTCTTTCTCTATAATCAATCGCTTTTTGCACAGAAATCTTAGCAAGTGTTAAACAGGAAAACCACTGCAAAATAAATCTCCTGCTGTGTAGTCGAAAAGTTTAAAGAAGTATTACGCAAAAGTTGACAACAGAAACAGAATTTCATTAGTTTTTCTTAAGAAATGTAAACT